GTCACCCATGGTGGACAGGATTCAGTGGAGCTTTCAGACTAAGACAGACTAGGAAGAAGGATCTCAAGATCTACTTCTGAAAAAATTGGCCAGTGAAAACCTTATGAATAGCAGCAGAACATTGTTTGATACAGTGCAGGAAGCTGAGCCCCTCAGGTTGGAAGGCACTCAAAATACGACTAGGGAAGAGCTGTCTCCTTGAACTAGAATTGACCTTGATGACATGGATGGAGTCCAGCTTTTGGGACCTTCACTTACTGATGTGGCATGAATCAAAACGAGAAGAAACAGCTGCAAACATCTATTAATAATAGGAATGCAGAATGTATGGAGTATGGATCTAGGAAAAGTATAAGTCATCACAAATGAAATGAAACACAAAAAGATCAATATCCTAGACACTAGTGAGCTAAAATGGACTGGAATTGGCCATTTTGAATCAAACAATCATATGTTTTATATGTCAGAATGACAAACTGAAGAGGAATGGCATTGCATTCATCGTCAAAAAGAACATTTCAAGATCTATGCTGAAGTACAACACTGTCAGTGATAGGATAACATCCATATGCCTACAAAGAAAGCTCCTTAGAAGCAAGGATGGCGAGACTACATCTCACATACTTTGGACATATTATCAGGAGGGATCAGTTCCCAGAGAAGGACATCATGCTTGGTAAAGTTGAGGGTCAGCGAAAAAGAGCAAGACCCTCAACAAGATGGATTTACACAGTGGCTGCAACAATGTGTTCAAGCAAAACAACGATTGTGAGGATGGTGCATGACCAGGCAGTGTTTTGTTCTGTTGTATATAGGGTTGCTATGAGTCAGAACTGACTTGACAGCACCTAACAACAAAGAAGACCAGTTCATAAGACTATCATTCAAATTTACACACCAACCACTAAGGCCAAAGATGAAAAACCTGAAGATTTTTACCAAGTTCTGAAGACTGAAATTGATCATACATGCAATCAAGATGCATTGATATTAGTGGTAATTGGAATGTGAAAGTTGGAAACAAAGAAGAATCAGGTATTGGAAAATATGGCCTTAGTGATAGAAACAACGCCAGAAATAGCATGACAGAATTTTGCAAGACCAATGACTTATTCATTGCAAATACTATTTTCCACTACATAAACAAATTTCTTTGCATAGATGAGTGAGCACTTCCAGTGTTACATCCATTTGTTGAAACATCTCAACTGGTATTCTGTCAGTTCCTGGAGCCTTGTTTTTCACCAATGCCTTCAGTGCAGCTTGGACTTCTTCCTCCGATAGCACTGATTTTTGCTACCTCCTGAAATGGCTGAATGTCAACCAATTCTTTTTAGTACACTGACATTGTGTATTCCTTCTGTCTTCTTTTGATGCTTCCTGTGTCATTCAATATTTTGCCCATAGATTCCTTCAAAATTGCAACTTGAGGCTTGAATTTTTTCTTCAGTTCTTTCAGCTTGAGAAATGCTGAGGGTGTTCTTCCCTTCTGGTTTTTAACTGCAGGCCTTTGCACATTTTGTTATAATACTTTACTTTTTCTTCTGGAGCCACCCTTTGAAATCTTCTGTTTAGCTCTTTTACTTCATCATTTCATCCATGTGCTGTAGCTACTCTACGTTCAAGAACAAGTTTCAGAGTCTCTTCTGACATCCATTTTGGTCTTTTCTTTCTTTCCTGTCCTTTTAATGACCTTTTGTTTTCTTCATGTATGATGTCCTTGATGTCATCCCACAACTCATCTGGTCTTTGGTCATTAGGGTTCAATGTGCCAAATCAATTCTTGAGATGGTCTCTAAATTCAGGTGGAATATACTCAAGGTCATACTGTGGCTCTTGTGGACCAGTTTTAATTTTCTTCAGCTTCAACCTGAACTTGCATATGAGCAACTGGTGGGCTTTCTCTGCAGTTGGCTCCTGGCTTTGTTCTGACTAACGATATTGAGCTTCTCCATCATCTCTTTCCACAGATATAGTCCATTTGATCCCTGTGTATTCCATCCAGTGAGGGCTACATGTATAGTCACCCTTTATGTTGTTGCAAAAAGGTATTTCCAATGAATAAGTCATTGGTCTTGCAAAATTCTATCATGTGATCTTTGGTGTTGTTTCTATCACCAAGGCCATATTTTCCAACTTCTGATCTTTCTTCTTTGTTTCCAACTTTGAAATTACCAACACCAGTAATTATCAATGCATCCTGATTGCATGTTTGATCAACTTCAGACTGTAGAAGTAGGTAAAAATCTTCAATTTCTTAATCTTTGATATTGGCGGTACATACATACATACATACCCATTGCCGTTGAGTTGATTTTGACTCATAGCGACCCTACAGGACAGAGTAGAATTGCCCCATAGGGTTTCCCAGGAGCAGCTGGTGGGTTTGAACTGCCAATCTTTTGGTTAGCAGCTGAGCTATTAATCACTGTGCAAATAGGGCTCTGCATTAGCGGTAGGTGTGTAAATTTGAATAACAGTCATATTAACTGACCTACCTTGTAGGTGTATGGATAGTATTCTATCATTGACAGTGCTGTACTGCAGGATAGATCTTGAAATGTTCTTTTTGATGATGAGTGTGACATCATTCCTCTTTGTTATTCCTGGCATAGTAGACCATATGATTTTCAGATTCAAAATGGCCAATACCAGTCCATTTCAGCTCACTAATGCATATAGGATATTGATCTTCAAGCATTCCATTTCATTTTTTACAACTTCCAGTTTTCTCAGATTTATGTTTTGTGCATTCCATGTTTCAATCACTAATGGATGTTTGCAGCTGTTTCTTCTCGTTTGGAGTCATGCTACATATGCAAATGAAGGTCCTGAAAGATTTACTCCACGTTTTTAAGGTCAACTCTACTTTGAGGAAGCAGTTCTTATCCTGTCATATTCTGAGTGCCTACCAACCTGAGGGGCTCATCTCCCAGCACAATATTAGACAATGTTCAACTCTTACCCATAAGGAAGTAGATAACCAGGTCCTTCTTCCTAGTTTGTCTTACTCCAGAGCTCCACTGAAACGTGTCCACCATGGATGACCCTGCTGGTATTCGAAATACTGGTAGTGTAACTTCTAGAATCATAGCAACACACAAACTACCACAGTACAACAAATTTGCATGTGGTGATATACCAAGATAAACTGGACTTCATCAAAATTTAAAAATTTTGTGCATCAAGGAACATTATTAAGAAAGTGAAAAAGACAATCTATAGAAAGGACATCAGAAATGAAAGCTTAATATCCAAAATACATAAAGAACACCTACACTCAAAAACAGAAAGACAATCAATAAAAAAAAAATTGGCAAAGGACTTCTTCTCTAAAGAATATACTATACAAATGGTCAATAAGCACATGAAAAGATGTCCAGCATTGTTAGTTATTAGGGAAATGCAAATCAAATATACAATTAGATATCACTTAACACACACTATTATAAAAACAAAACAAAACACAGAAAATATCAAGTATTGGGGGATGTGGAGTGACTGATTTACTTTTACAATGCTGGTGGGAATGTAAAATGATGTAGCCACTGTGAAAACAGTTTGACTGTTCCTCAAAAAGTTCAACATAGAATTACCATACGATAGCACTTCTACTCCTAAGTATACACCCAAAAGACTTAAAAGCAGGGATTCAAACAGATACTTGCATACCAACTTTCATTGCACCATTATTCATAATAGCTAAAGGTAGAAACAATCCAAGTGTCCATCAACAGATGAATGGATGAACAAAATGTGTTGTTGTTGTTAGATGCCATCCTGTCCATTGTGACTCATAGCAACCCTACGTACAACAGAAGGAAACATGGTCTGGTCCTGCGCGATCCTCACAATACTTGCTATCTTTGAACCCATTGTTGCAGCCACTGTTTCAATCCATCTTGCCGAGGGTTCCTTTTTCTCGCTGGCCCTCTACATTACCAAGCATGATGCTTTTCTCCAGGACTAGTCCCTCCTGATAACATGTCCAAAGTATGTGAGATGAAGTCTCACCATTCTCCGCTCCAAGAAGCACTCTGGCTGTGCTTCTTCCAAGACAGACTTGTTCATTCTTTTGGAAGTACATGGTCTATTCAGTATTATTGGCCAACACCACAATTCAAAGGCATCAATTCTTCTGTGATCTTCCTTTCATTGTCCAGTCTTCGCATGTATATGAAACGATTAAAAACTTCTAAAACTCCTAGAGAAGCTACATACAGGGAAGAGCAGCTCATATTGTGCTCCATTTCAAGGTGTTGAAGTGGAAACAGTGAAATATTATACACTTTCTCTCTCCAGTCTAGGTCCTTCAAAACAAGGCTGGGATATAGCAGGGAAGAAAAATAATCATAAACTGGCTATAAGGTTTTAGTTTTAAACTATAATGGACTGAATTTTTATGGTTTATAATGGCTAAAAGGTAAGGGGATTTAATTATATATCAGGAAGGTAGATTTAAAAAGAAACCATGTTTGAATATAGCTACTGAGGAAATATAAGGCACTACATGGTTATTATTTACTGAATTGAGACTGAGAAATAAGTATTTTGAAAAAGTATCTTAAACTATCTTAAGAATAAAGCAAATAGATTAATAATACACTAGATAGCCAGTATATCCATAGAGTATAAAGAAAGAGTAAATATAAATAATTGTGTTATATATCCACTCCACCCAAAGTCATAAGAATTATATTCACAGCATTCATGTGAATAACAGTTGCTTTTCAAAATATTACAGCCTTGACATAATGGACATGGAGAAAGGGTGAAATATCTGCAGACTGTAAAGTCTTAGAACAGAGGACAATATAACTGTCTGTTGCACTTCCAATACTTGTGATTCTGGCCAATCATCAGACTAACTGTGAGATTTTCTGGTACATATATACTTCAGTCTACACCCTGGAAAATTATATACTAGGTAAATGTTGCAAAATAAACTATGTAAGTTACTATATGAATATACTATGCAGTTTTTTCAATTATTCACATACCTTGACCCTTGGAATTTTATGGGACAGTTGACTTGGTTCATTATCCATCTTGGTATATAAAGAATAGCTTGTATTCTTATTCTTTACAGGATATATTACATGCTCAAATCCAGCTGAAGTCTCTAGCGGTTCAATTCCATAGCTGCTATTCTCAAACTGTATTAACCCCCTAGAAATTCCAACAACAAAATATATTCTTTAGGTCAGTGAAATGCCATGGAGTGATACTAGAATCCTTAAAATTATTTTCAGTCTTTCCCTCAGAGAATAAATTAGGAAATGTGGAAGGAGAGGGTTTTCATGCACTTACTGAATGGTACAGAATTGTAATATGAGTGACATTGACCCAGCTGTTAATATGTCATAGTTTCCAGACAATCCAGGATAATGGTGGCATCATAACATGATTCCTCATTCTATGCTTTCCCGTGATTAGTAGTATTGCCCTAATATTCATGCCTCTACTCTAGAGACCCCTGAGATTTTTAAAATCAAAAGAAAAAAATCCAAATAAACATTCCATTTTGTACTTAATAAACAATGTCAAAACCTCAGTCCAGAACAGGTACTAATGGTCACCACAGAATTTGGAAAACCTTCAATATGACCTTGGTAGTTGCAGAGATTCTGAAAAAAAAAAAAAAGAAAAAATTAGTGTCTGAAAGTAAGGCTTATGAATGATAATATCTTTCATATCTCTAGGAATTTTATATGTGTGTGTATATGTATGCATCTTTGTCTAATACTCATTACTCATTGCTCATGGTTTTAAAAATACTTTTATGTCATTATTAGAGATGCATAAGCTCAGTCTGCAGTATTTTTACATGGATTCAAAAACAATGAGTGAGTTTTTATATTCTTGCCTATTTCATTGATGGAGCATAACACTGTCCATCATTAGATCAAGGGGAAATGCATCTAAGTCTTACATTTTGTATATACTTTCCTCTTAATTTTCCAAAATGAGACAAAGAAAATCATAAAGAAAAATTCCTTTGAAAATGAATTGATAAAAGAAATTAAGAACACTTTAATAAATTCTAAATGTAAAAAATTTTGAGTCTTACTCTAAGACTTCAATCAACGGGAGTTGAAAAAATGAAGCACAAGACAGCAGAAGAATAATCCGATATTTAAACAACTAAAATTATCTTTTTTTTTTTTTAGTTGGTTAAATTATCTGACTATACTTGTGCTATCTTCTGCTTTATCATCCCACCAATCATCTGTCCGTTTGTCATACTGTGGTGGCTTGTACGCTGCTCTGATGCTGAAAGCTATGCCACTGATATTTCAAATACCAACAGGGTCACCCACGGTGGACAGGTTTCAGCAGAGCTTCCAGACTAAGCCAGGCTAGAAAGAAGGACCTAGCAGTCTACTTCTGAAAACTTTGGTCAGTGAAAACTTTATGAATAGCAGCAGAACATAGTCTGATTTAGGGCTAGAAGATGAACCTCTCAGGTTGGAAGGCACTCAGAATAGACTGGGGAAGAGCTGTATCCTCAAAGTAGAATCAACCTTAATGAAGTGGATGGAGTCAAGCTTTCGGGACCTTATTTGCTGATGTGGCACGAATCAAAATGAGGAGAAACAGCAGCAAATATCCATTAATAATCAGAAAGTGGTAGGTACCAAGTAAAAATCTAACTGAAAACTGTCAAAAATGAAATGGAAGGCATATACATCAATATCCTAGGCATTAGTGAGATGAAATGGACTGGTATTGGCCATTTTGAATGGGACGATCTTATCGTATACTATGCCGGGAATGACAAATGGAAGAGGAATGGCGTTGCATTTATCATCAAAAAGAACACTTCAAGATCTATCCTGAAGTGCAATGCTGTCAGTAATAGGATAATATCTGTATGCCTACAAGGAAGACGAGTTAATATGGCTATTATTCAATTTACACATGAACCCCTAAGGCCAAAGATGAAGAAATTGAAGATTTTTACCAACTTCTGCAGTCTGAAATTGATCAAACTTGCAATTTAAGATGCTTTGGTATTTACTGGTTATTGGAATGCAAAAGTTGGAAACAAAGAAGGATTGGTAGTTGGAAAATATGACCTTGGCGATAGAAACAACACTGGAGATTGAATCATAGAATTTTGCAAGACCAACGACTTCTTCATCGCAAATAACGTTTTTCAACAACATTAACAGTGAATATACATGTGGACCTTGCCAGATGGAATACAGAGGAATCAAATCAACTACATCTGTGGAAAGAGATGATGGAGAAGCTCAATATCATCAGTCAGAACAAGACCAGGGGCCAACTGTGGAACAGACCATCAATTGCTCGTATGCAAGTTCAATATGAAGCAGAAGAAAATTAGAGCAAGTCCACGAGAGCCAACATATGACCTTGAGTATATCCCACCTGAATTTGGGGACCATCTCAGGAATAGATTTGCAACATTGAACACGAATGACCGAGGACCTGATGAGTTGTGGGATGACATGGAGGACACCATACATGATGAAAGCAAGAGGTCATTAAAAAGACAAGAAACAAAAGACCAAAATGGATGTCAGAAAAGACCCTGAAACCTGCTCTTGGACATAGAGTACTTAAAGCAAATGGAAGAAATGATGAAGTAAAGGAGCTGAACAAAAGACGTCAAAGGGTGACTTGAGAAGACAAAGAAAAATATGATGAAATGTACAAAGACCTGAAGTTAGAAAAACAAAAGGGAAGAACACACTTGGCATTTTTGAAGTTGAAAGAACTGAAGAAAAAATTCAAGCCTTGAGTTGCAATATTGAAGGCTTCTACGGGGAAAATAAAGAACGACGCAGGAAGCATCAAAAGAAGATGAAGAAATACACCGAGTCACTGTATCAAAAAGAATCGGTTGATGTTCATCCATTTCAGGAGGTAGCATATGATCAAGAACCGATGGTACTAAAGGATCCAAGCTGCACTGAATGCACTGATGAAAAATAAGACTCCGGGAATTGATGGAAGACCAATTGAAATGTTTCAACAAATGGATGTGGCGCTGGAGGTGCTCACTCGTCTCTGCCAAGAAATTTGGAAGACAGCTACCTAGCCAACTGACTGGAAGAGATCCATATTTGTGTCCATTCCAAAGAAAAGTGATCCAACAATGCAGAAATTATCAAACAATATCATTAATATCACGCACAAGTAAAATGTTGCTGAAGATCATTCAAAAGCAATTGCAGCAGTACATTGACAGCGAACTGCCAGAAATTCAAGCCAGATTCAGAAGAGGACATGGAAGGAGGGATATCATCGCTGATGTCAGATGGATCTTGGCTGAAAGCAGAGCATACCAGAAGGATGTTTACCTGTGTTTCATTGACTATGCAAAGACATTTGACTGTGTGGATAGTAACAAATTATGAATAACATTGTGAAGAATGAGTACTGCAGAACACTTAATTGTGCTCAGGAGGAACCTGTACATAAACCAAGAGGCAGTCGTTCAAACAGAACAAGGGGATGCTGTGTGGTTTAAAGTCAGGAAGTTGTGCATCAGGGTTGTATCCTTTCACCATATTTATTCAATCTGCACGCTGAGCAAACAAACTGAGAAGCTGGAGCATACGAAAAAGAATGATGCCTTTGGGTTATAGTGTTGGCAAAGAATATTGAATATACCATGGACTATATCTGAGAAGCTGGACTATATGAAGGAGAATGCAGTATCAGGATTTGAGGAAGATTCATTAACAACCTGTGCTATGCAGATGATACAACCTTGCTTGCTGAAAGTGAAGAGGACTTGAAACAATTACTGATGAAGATCAAAGACCATGGCCTTCCATATGGATTACACCTCAACATAAAGAAAACAAAAATCCTTACAACTGGACCAATAAGCAACATCATGATAAATGAAGAAAAGACTGAAATTGTCAAGGATTTCATTTTACTTAGATCCACAATGAATGCCCATGGAAATATCAGTCAAGAAATCAAAATATGTATTGCATTGGACAAATCTGCTGCAAAAGACCTCTTTAAAATGTTAAAAAGCCAAAATGTGACTTTGAGGACTAAGGTGTGGCTGACCCAGGCTATAGTACTTTCAATCGCCTCATATGTATGCGAAAGCTGAAGAACAAATAACGAAGACGGAAGAATTGATGCCTTTGAATTATGGTGTTGGCCAAGAAGTACAGCCAGAATGTTCCTTAGAAGCAAGGATGTCGAGACTTCATCTCATGTACTTCAGACATTGTATCAGGAGGGACCCATCCCTGGAGAAGGGCATCATGCTTGGAAAAGTAGAGGGTCAGCCAAAAAGAGGAAGACCCTCAACAGGATGTATTGACACAGTGACTGCAACCATTGGTTCAAACATAAGAACGACTGTGAGGATGGCACAGGATCAGGCAGTGTTTCCTTCTCTTGTACATGGGGTCACTATGAGTCATAAAACATGAATTTTTCTATGCCGTAGTAAAGATAACTCGATGGGGCAGTTCTGCTCTGTGCTATAGGGTCACTATGAGCCAATGGAAACAAAGGATGGAGTAGAGGAAACTCAATGAAAAGTAATACTAGCAATTTGTGAAGTGAGACATAATGCGTATCTGTTTTAGTATCTTCATGATTTATATTCTTTCCGTGGGAAAAGCTCAGAGCAAGTGAGACAATATCTAATATTTATGCAGTTAATACCTTATTACCTAATAAAGTGCTTGGATTTCAGAGTATTAGTTGTTTCATTGCATACCAAAAACCCTTTGCTGTCAAGTTGATTCCAACCCATAGTGACTCTACAGGACAGAGTAGAACTGCCCCATAGGGTTTCCGAGGAGCGGCTGGTGGATTCAAACAGCCAACCTTTTGGTTAGCAGCCGAGCTCTTAACCACTATGCCACCAGGGCTCCTTTCACTGAATAGAGCTAAGTAATACAACTTGGACAAACAGCAATTCATAGGACAGAGAAAAACAAACAACTGGTATTTCCAAAATGAGAAATCCTTGTGAATCCATCCATGTTCCTTCTTTTTTTTCTAAAATTGTATATAGCACTGCATAAATCTCCAAAAGATATAAAAATTTTAAATTGTTTATTTCCCCTAAACACCTATGCAGTTTCATAGACTGCTGTTATTTTGTCCTTAAATATTCTCCAGATGTGGCTTTGACTCCCCATCTCTTCAGAGACTTAATATTTTTTACTGATTCAAATCATCATTCTTCATTCTAATTCTGAGCTTTATATGTTCATGTCTTATTGCCTCATAAGAATATATCTATTCACCCTGAAACTAATATCTTAAAAATATATAATCATACTTGCTCTAATTGCATCATGTTAACAGAATCTGTGTATTAGGGCTAACTTAGGGCATGTCATTAACAATAACTGGTTGCTGCCAGAAACGGTTAAATTTATTTTTTAAAATCTAAAACAAAATAAAAACTCTAAGCCTTTCAACACCAGTAGCATGTGGCCTCTAAAAAAAAAAAAAAAAAAAAGATCACAGATACTGACATAATAAAGCTAAAATACAGATAAATTAAAAACTAACCTTAAACTTTTGGATAAGAGGTTGCATAATTTCTGAGTAATTGTAACCATAAACCCTAAAATTATGGGGCAAAAAATTTCTGTAACACAAAGAGAAAAGAATATTGATGAGGGAAAAGCCACATTGTTTCCTAAGGCTTTAGGAGAAAATAAATTTAATTTATTATATTTATCAGAATATGTAAATTTCACTCAAAACTTAGCCTCAAAATTCTGGCCTCAAGCATTCTTGCTCACTTCACTCTACTTGTATTATCTTGTAAGCTAT